TGTGCCCTGATGGGAATTGCACTATGACCCTGATTCATAGGTTGAAGCTCAACCCAAGCCGTGCTGCACAAAACTTCTGTTAACAAGTTATTTTTAATAGTACCCTAATAGGTTGACTGCTTTAATTTTTCTGTCAAATATTCTGTTCATATGTAATTTATCAGGTAGAAATGTTTCCTCCTTTAAGTAACAGAAGATCCTAGTAGCAATGGTTTCTCAAATAGGGTTTATTTTTTTTCACATAACGAGAAGTATAGAGGAGCTGGCTACTGGCATTGGTTGAGTGACTCCATGATACCAAGTCTCTGATTCTTTTGGCCTTTCCCTCATGGTAACAAAATGACCTCTGCAGTCCAAGGCTATGTCTCTATTATCAAAACCAGAAAAGGGGAGGAGGCAGGGCCTTACACATTTAATTCTTTCTCATACCAGCAAAACCTTCTCCAAAAACCCACAGCAGATTTGTGCTGTCTGTTGGCCACAGTGTATAAGATGATCACCTCTAGTTCCAAGAAAGGTCAAGAAATGAAATTGTAAGCCTTTCCAGACTTTCTAATAAGAGGTAGGGAAGGATTAGGAATAAATGTGTTACAGGGAACCAATAAATTTGCCAATAGTTACAAGTAAAGCAGACATAATTTACATTTTAATCTTTTCTGTTGTCTTCAGAAAGCTGATTTTTAAATGTCGATTTAATAGTCCAAGTTGTGTTCTTGCCATAATTTAAACATTCTCTCGTTGGATACCTAATTTGTTTTCAGTGTTAATCCAATATAGAAAATGCTACTGTGACTGTCTTCTTGTACATAACTTTGCTTTCTTTGGTCTGAGTTGCCAAGAGTAAGGTTGCAATTCATGAGCCTTATCAGTTAATGTTGCATTTGAAAACTTAACTGAGGTTTTTAAAAATTAGGAATTTTTGTTTCTCATCTGATAATTCTATAGGAAGTCAGGGCTAGTACAGCAACTTTATAATATCTGAAATATCCTGGGCTGCATCCAGATTTCTCTTTTATCAATTTTAGTATGTAGCTTTCATCTTTTCAGTCATGGTATGGTTGCTTTGTCCCTTGTCTCACATCTGTATTCCAGGAAGGATAAAAAGGCACCATCCCTTCTTGCTGTTTATGTCAAAGGAGCAAAGCATTATAAGAAACCCTCAACTTAGAATTTGCTAGAGTTATATTTTCTGATTATAAAGAAAGATGGAAATAGAAACTTTTTTAGCAGAGCACACATTGCCCTTCTTATAAAAGATGGAGTTCTGTTAGAAAAGAGGGGACAGTGGCTACTGGATAGGTAGCCAGCACGTCTACTATAAAGAGCTTAGCTTTCCAACCTCTACCACAACCAACTATTATAGCTTCACATTTTTTGTCGTTTTGATGCTGGGGGAGGGGGTACAAAGGGGTTGATTTTATTTAATTTGTTAATTATTGTTTTAATTTACATTTCTTCCACAACTAGTGGTGGAACACGTAGTCATGCACACTACTCACACAGAATGAAATTCCTGAGGACTGGATAGCATACAAAAGAAGGCAATTTTGCATGTGCTGAAGACAAGTGGTGTAAGAATTTATTTTAATACAGTTACACCTCTATTTTCTAGCAAGCTGGAGGATTCCCAAATAGGTAAATAAGAACCCATTTTTATAATGACTCAATTTGGCATAAGGATTTTTTTCAGGAATGTAAGGACAAATAAAAATAGATATTTTAAGGCATTAATCACAATTAAAAGTATCTTCCAATTTTAATGAAAAATTGAAGAAAGTTCATCCACTCTTAACAGAGGTATAAGACCTTAAATTTGTTGAGAAATTATACATTTTAAAGGTATAATTTAGAAGTAGTTATTTTGAAAATAATAGCTACCAAATGTAATTTAATTACCATTTGGAGGTCTGTGGAACAATGACAAAGTAAATTAAATTGCACTTGTATTTTTTTATTCACATAAAAGATATATGTATTTTTTTTTGGTCAGGAGGATATTATACACTTACTAAATTGTGATAATACTTTTATTAAAATTTTATTAATTTTTAAGTAAGATTATTTCATGTGTCTCTTAGAATAAACCAATTAGAAGCGGACTTATAATAAAATTGATTCAAGTTATTTAATCTACTCTCTGGGACAGAAAGAAAAATGTTTTATAGACCCTAGCCAGGTAGCTCAGTTGGTTCGAGCGTCATCCCGATATGCCAAGGTTGTAGGTTCGATCTCCGGTAGAGGCACATACAAGAATCAACCAATTGCCCTAACTGGTTTGGCTCAGTGGATAGAGCATCAGCCTGCAGACTGAAGGATTCCAGGTCCGATTCCGGTCAAGGACATGTACCTTGGTTGCGGGCACATTCCCAGTAGGGGGTGTGCAGGAGGCAGCTGATCGATGTTTCTCTCTCATCAGTGTTTCTAACTCTCTATTCCTCTCCCTTCCTCTCTGTAAAAAAAATCAATAAAATATATATTTTTAAAAGAATCAACCAATGAATGCATGAATGGGTGGAACAACAAATCGATGTTTTTCTTTCTCTTCCTCTCTATAAATCAAATAATTTTTTAAAAAATTAAATCATTTTAAAAAATTAGAGATGTCAATTTGATCTCATGTTTGTATCACAATTATATTTTGCTACGCATATTACCAATTGCCACCAAATTTCTAAAACAAATGTTTCCCAAATTGCCCTAGAATGTTGATTTATTTGGGCTGGTAGTGTTTCTGGAAAAAATGGTTCTGCGATCAAATACTAGGTTAAATAAATTTTTTCTTTCTGAACCTATAAACATGCCATTAATATGCGTTAGAAATCTACAAAAGATGATGGATTTCCAAAATGCAAATATATATATAAAAGGCTAATATGTTAAGTGTCCTTCCCTCCGTCTGGGTAATGACATCACGTAGCAACACCCAGCTTCCTCTTCCTGGTGACGACTAGCCTCCTTGCAGTTTCTTCAGCCCAGGAGCCAACTTGCTTCATAGCCAGCTGCAAATACTTTATACTGTAACCAAATGTCTATGAAGCATTTTCCCATGCCTCATCTCATTCGATCCTCACAGAAGTCCTGGAGTAGGTAAATAGGAGACTCAGTGGAATCCTATTTTCTTTACATTAGCCGGAAAACGGAGATTTAGAAAGTTTAGAAACTTGACCCAACTGAAAAGAAGAAATGGTGGACCTTGAAAATGACTTCAGGTTTTCTCACTGCACAGAATATAGTCAAACACTGCTGCAGTTAAATATTTTACCCTTTGTTCTCCCTGTGTGAGCTATAATAATATGCTTCGTGTTGATATTTACTACTGTGTTGCTGAGAATTACCTGAAAGAGAAGTTGGGGTGCTTTACTGGGCTGAAAAAGTTTAGCTAAATCGGAAAGCAGGTCAAACTAAGCAGGTTTGTTCTATATCTATAAAAGGCTAAGTTGACTCGGGCATGTGCAATACATATAAAGCTCTTGCTGGCTCCAATCACACACGTGTGTTTCGATCTGTCATTGTCAATCTTGAATTTGGTTGACACTTCAATTATAAAGAGCGAATAGTGATATTAAAATATTTCTTCTAATTAATTTCCTTGCAATGTGCATGAATTCGTGCACTGGGCCACTAGTTTGATCACAGTACTCATTTTTCAAAGAATACTTTGAAAAAGTTGTAGGTTCTATTTAGTGTCTTAACTTTTATGACCCTAACATTTGTGCCAATCCCAGTCTGATGCCTAAGTTGAACTCCCATCCTACAGCAGTATTTTAGTCGGATTTGGAAACAATTCACCAGGTAAACCTGGCTTTCGGTTTCTGCTTTCCCTTACTCATGACATGTTGGGTTCTACTATGGATTGAATATTTGTGTCCCCAAAAACACACATGTTCAAATCCCCAAGGTAACAGTATAAGAGAGGGCCTTTGGGAAGTGATTATTAGACCATGAGGGCAAAGCCCTCTTGAATGGAATCAGTGCCTTTATTTAAAGAGACCCCAGAGAGTAGTAAGCTAGTCCCCTTCACACCAAGTGAGGACAGTTAAGAGATACCCCTCTGTGAACTAGGAAACAGACCTTCACCACACTCTGAATCTAACGCTTCTTCTAACCTGTGGGAAAGTGTAAATAAGGGAATAAAGATAAAGAAGACCTTAGTTGGGTAACTCATTTGGTTAGTGTTGTCCTGAAATGCCATGGTTGTGGGTTTGATCCCAGGGCAGGGCACATACAAGAATCAACCAATGAGTGCATAAATAAGTGGAATAGCAAATCAATGTTTCTCTCTCTCTAAAAATCAATAAATAAACCACAAAAAACTGCCACCTACCAATCTGGAGTGATCTGCGATCTGCCTTAAAAAATCTATAATAATAAAAGTATAATATGCTAATTAGACTGAACATCCTTCCGAGGCTGCTGCTGCGAGGGCCGGGGCGGCGACTGGGGATGCCGCCTCGGCCCTCAGAGCCCCTTGAACGAATTTTGTGCATTGGGCCTCTAGTATAAAGATGAGTTGGACACAGATCCCTTCTCTCTGGGGTAATCATGGAAGCAAGGGGAAGGAAGCAAAAGAGCAGACTAATACACATTTACCTGGTGTATCCTGGCAGAATACAGATGATATATATATATATATGATAAAAACTTCACCAGCACTTCTATGCAGGGGGAGAAAAATTGAAAGTTGAAACTGTAACAGGAATAAGTATAAAAATTTCTACCTAAAATACCTAATATTCTTTGGTCCTGGAGTTATTGAATTCACATTTAAAGTAATCTATATTTCAATTTTATTATATTAATGGACCTCTCCAGGACTGAATTCTATTAAAGTAAAATTATGTTTTTGAGTAAATTTAGGCAGCCTGATATGACATATCTCACACACATCTACACTATATATAATGAAATCCTTATATGGGCCTCTAGTATATAATGAAATACTTATACAGGCATAAAAATCCTTAATAGAAATAAATTATAAGCAATAAAATAAAATCTTATTTAGTGTGCTGTTTGCTTTTTTTAATAACTAGAATTCATAAAGGAATCAAAATTTGTTCATTCTTACACAAATGATTCTGACTATTTTTATGATAATTTATCAAACCCTGAGTTTTGCTTTTCTGTCTGTGGTTTAACATACATCCCTAAGCAAGTAGAAATGTTAAAATAAGGATCCTACATCTTGGTGTTTATTTATTTGAAATTAGGATTTTTTTATTCTGAATAGTTTCAATAAAGTGTATGTTATGGTAGAATGTCTCTATCTGCTTTAACTTGACCTATGTTAAACTGATAAAATACAACCTTAGTCCTACTTAAGAGTACATATTTCATTATATAAGTTAGCAAATAGCTTATACAACACAAATGTCCAACAATTTTAATTAAATCATTGCTACTTGAAATACTTTATACATGAATAATTTAACTCTTTACACTGTTGAAGCATTGCATTTCAGTATGTTCTATGACTTCTGTATCATCACCTGAAATTTACCTAAAAAAGAAAACATGAAAAATAATTTTGATTTTAGGAACAAGGAAAGCAAGTCTAAACATTAGTTAGTAGTTTTAATCAAGAAACTTGTTAAGACAAACTTTTCACATTTTTTGTTAAAGGAAACACATTGAAGCTCAAGTCAGTTTTATTCTTGGTTGGTATATCTGGGTGAAAAAATCTTTCCAAATGAGTTTACTGATTAAAAAAAACCCCAGCTGGCTTTATCTAGTTTTACGTAATAAATATTGTCTAGGAAACTTTAAAAGTGTTCTTCAATGCTATAGGGAAATTTTCTATCTGAAAGAATACAACAAACAATTTTCCTTTAAAAGTTAAGAATCACCCTGGTGTGTGTGGCTCAGTTGGTTGAGTGTCGTTTTCTCAGGGAACGAGGTTACCAGTTCCATTCCCAGTCAGGGCACACACTGGGTGGCCGCTTGATCACCAGTAGTGGGTGGGCAGGACGCAATCAATGTTTCTCTCTCCCTCTCCTTTCCTCTTTCTCTCAAATCAGTAAAAAAAAAATTTTTCTTAAAAAGTTAAGAATCATTCCTTAAGTTGTCTGGTAAATTTGGATTTCTTTAGCACATTTTCTTATATCAATGTCCATTCTGAATTCAAAAATCACTGAATATAAGTATGCTACATATTACTGCATTAAATATTAAAATTGGTCAAAGTAAAAAAAAAAAATGGTTTTAGCATTTTAAATTTCCTCTAATTAAACAAAAACAAAAAAAACACCAGACCTAAAAAATAATAACTAAAAACATTTGGAAAAAATGTGAATTCAACTTACAGGCAGGCATTGAAGACACCTCAGCTGTTACAATACTTTTAATCCCCAAGTTTGATAAGCCACCTCTGATTAAGCCACATGTAAATGCTAAATACTAAAAGGAAAAACAAATGTGAAGAAAATATTAAGCATTTACTAAGAAAAGTCTATGGATAAGTATGACATTTAAGTCTTACTATTATTAAGTAATTTCTGTTTTTAAAAAAAGGGTGTGGACAGCCAGTTGGCCTGGAGGTCAAATCCCCCTAGTATTAACTACAACAATCAAGGCTTAACTACAGTAAGACTGCACACAAAGACCACTAGGGGGTGCACCAAGAAAGCATAAAAAATGCCGAGACAAAGAAACAGGACAAAACTGTCAATGGAGAATATTCAGTTCAGAACCACACTTTTAAGGTCTCTCAAGAACTGTCTAGAAGCCGCCGATAAAGTTATTGAGATCCTCAACAAATCTAATGAGACCCTCGATGTTATGGTAAAGAACCAACTAGAAATTAAACATACACGGACTGAAATAACGAATATTATACAGACTCCCAACAGCAGACCAGAGGACCACAAGAATCAAGGCAAAGATTTGAAATGCGAAGAAGCAAAAAACACCCAACCAGAAAAGCAAAATGAAAATAGAATCCGAAAATACAC